GTTACCAATGTGTAGGAATCTTTCTCGGTTGTGGGGCTGTTCTTGTTAACTGCTCCAGCTTTCACTCCCACTCAGGTGCTTCACAGATGTTCTTGTACTCCACCTCACATCATCCCCAGCCACTGTGGCACAGGATAATAGGGAAATGAGTTTAACACATGTTGAGAGTGACTGAGGAATCATAGAATCATTGAGTTGGAAGAGACCTCATAGGCCATCCAGTCCAACCTCCTGCCAAGAAGCAGGAAAATCACATTCAAAGCACCCCCAACAGATGGCCATCAAGTCTCTGCTTAAAAGCCTCCAAAGAAGGAGCCTCCACCACTCTCTGGGGCAGAGAGTTCCACTGCTGAACAGCTCTCACAGTCAGGAAGTTCTTCCTAATGTTCAGATGGAATCTCCTTTCTTGTAGTTTGAAGCCATTGTTCCATGTCCTAGTCTCCAGGGCAGCAGAAAACAAGCTTGCTCCCTCCTTCCTCTGACTTCCTCTCACATATTTATACATGGCCATCATGTCTCCTCTCAGCCTTCTCTTCTGCAGCCTAAACATGCCCAGCTCTTGAAGCCACTCCTCATAGGGCTTGTTCTCCAGACCCTGGATCATTTTGGTCCTCTGGACACATTCCAGCTTGTCAACATCTCCCTTCAATTGTGGTGCCCTGAATTGGACACAGTATTCCAGATGTTGTCTGGCCAAGGCAGAATAGAGGGGAGCATGACTTCTCTGGATCTAGACACTAGACTTTTATTTATGCAGGCCAAAATCCCATTGGCTTTTTTAGTCACCACATCACATTGTTGGCTCAAATCTGATCTATGCCATTACTATATGTGCTTGGAACAAAGGAGTAGATTCACGCATATATAGGTTAGAACAGGCATGGGCAAACTTTGGCCCTTCAGGTGTTTTGGACATCAACTCCCACATTAGGAAGAATTTCCTGACTGTGAGAGCCGTTCAGCAGTGGAACTCTCTGCCCCGGAGTGTGGTGGAGGCTCCTTCTTTGGAAGCTTTTAAACAGAGACTGGATGGCCATCTGTCAGGGGTGCTTTGAATGCAATGTTCCTGCTTTCTTTGCAGGGGGTTGGACTGGATGGCCCATGAGGTCTCTTCCAACTCTATGATTCTATGATTTCCTAACGGCCAAAAGGAGTTGAAGTCCAAAACACCTGGAGGGCCGAAGTTTGCTCATGCCTGGAATACACTGAAGATATAATGCAGCCTCAAATGTATTATAGGGGAGTGTTTATGAGACCACTCCTTTTGGTGTCCCCCCAGCAATAGCAAGGGTATCCCTTTGGGCAGCTAAACCAGGAAATCCCAACTGGATGGCCTCCCACGAGGGTCTTCCTCCAGGGGCAAACCAAGAATGGGCAACTTGGAAGTCCCTGAATAGACTCAGAAGTGGAATGGGCAGATCAAAAGACAACCTGGCAAAATGGCACTACCTAAAACAATCCTCTACCTTGTGTCACTGTGGAGCAGAACAGACAACTCCGCATATGTATGCTTGTCCACTGTGCCCTGCCTCATGTACAGAGGAGGAATTGTTGGAGGCTACAAACAATGCAGTTGCTGTTGCCCATTTTTGGTGAAAAGATACTTAGCCGCCTGCACGCCTTCTATTTTTATCAGTTTTATACTAATTTATGCAATGCATTAAAAAAACGGGACCTTAGAAATCTATGGACAGTATCTGGCAAGGGTTCGAAGGTGAATTGGGAGGAGAGGCAAGAAGGGATTAGATTTGCCAAAATCCTCGTGAATCTTTTCCCTTCTGCATCTCCCAATCTGTACCTTTTCCCTAGTTCTTTTTCCCCTGCTCTTTATACTTTTCTCTCTCTGGCTTTCCCTTTCTCTTTCTTGCCTTAAAACCCTCCACTATTTGCTAACCTAAATCTCAGAAGCGGAATATATTAGGTGAAGGACGTACATACGGACTTAGTTTGCATAATTACTGCTGAATTTTGTTCCTTTCCCTGTGTCTCTGTCTCAGCAGCCCTCTATCCTTCCTTTACACGCCGCGTAAAGTGTGATCCTTCAAAATCAGCTCGGGCTTATCGGGCTCAAGTTAATAAAAAAGGAATTTTCTGCCAGCTTAAGAATGAATCCTCAAAGTCTCTTTTTTGAGGTAGGAGGTGGTTAAGGTGCCAGCAACAGAATTAGTTGCTTGGGCCGCCCACACATCCCGTCTTGTGAGAGTAGCAATGGGATTCCCCCCCCCCCCCCTCGAAAGATATACAATTTTGAAATTCTTTGGCTTTTTGCGCCAAGCTGCAGGGGTGGCCAGAGCTGGAGGTTGCTGAGTAAGCAATGCTTAAGCAATGCAGTCAAAAGCCTCTGCATTCAATCCAGGGACAATGTGGTCCGTCCCTTCGTCCGGGAAAGTAGCTCCGCAGTGGCTTTTTGTGAGCCTGATGTGATGGAGCCGGCATCTCAGAGGGCATGATCCAAGGTGGTCCCAGGTTGCTGTTTCTCCCGGCAAGAAGCTCCATAGATGGACTGAAGGGAGGCTTCACACTCATCTGTATTGCAGGGATGGAAGCTGCCAAATACAAGGTGCAGCATATCTTGTGCCAAGTTGCTTGAAAGGTGCTCTCGCTTGCAAACAAGGTAGGCGACACCAAAGAAGAAACAGAATGTGGGAAGTATGCCTTGCAAGATTTCAGCATGCAAAGGGTCAGCCGTGTTGTGTGTGTCTTTTGTTGCTTTGGGACCAGATCTTGGAAAGCTAAATAAACTTAACATGAGGAAAAACTGACTGCACTTTCTTCTAAATCAGCATATCTCAACCTGGGGGTCGGGACCCCTGGGAGGGTCGCAAGGGGGTGTCAGAGGCGTCTCCAAAGACCACCAGAAAACACAGAATTTTCTAGGTTGTTGTAGGTTTTTTCGGGCTATATGGTCATGTTCTAGAGGCATTTTCTCCTGACGTTTCGCCTGCATCTATGGCAAGCATCCTCAGAGGTAGTGAGTATTTTCAGTATTTTCTGTTGGTCAGGGGGGTTCTGTGTGGGAAGTTTGGCCCAATTTTATTGTCGGTGGGGTTCAGAATTCTCTTTGATTGACTATACATCCCAGCAACTATAACTCCCAAATGTCAGGGTCTATTTTCCCCAAACTTCACCAGTGTTCACATTTGGGCATATTGATTATCTGTACCAAGTTTGGTCCAGATCCATCATTGTTTGAGTCCACAGTACTCTCTGGATGTAGGTGAACTACAACTCCAAAACTCAAGGTCAATGCCCACCAAACCCTTCCAGTATTTTCTGTTGGTCATGGGAGGCCTGTGTGCCACGTTTGGTTCAATTCCATCATTGGTGGAGTTCAGAATGCTCTTTGATTGTAGGTGAACTATAAATCCCAGCAACTACAACTCGCAAATGACAAAATCAATTTCTTTGAACCCCCCACCAGTACTAAAATTTGGGTGTATCGGGTTAGTAGGTAAAGGTTTTCCCCTGACAGTCATGCCCGACCCATTTCTAAGCCAAAGAGCCAGCGTTGTCCGTAGACACCTCCAATGTCATGCAGCCAGCATGACTGCATGAAGCGCCGTTATTTGTGCTAAATTTGGTCCAGTGAATGGAAATGCATCCTGCCTATCAGATATTTACATTATGATTCATAACAGTAGCAAAATTACAGTGATTAAATGGCAATAAAAATATTTTTATGGTTGGGGGTCACCGCAACATGAGGAACTGTATTAAGGGGTCCCGGTATTAGGAAGGTTGAGAACCATTGATCTAAGTGAAGACAGAATGCATGGATGACATCAGAACATGTTTACTAAACCTTTCGGGGTACAATTACACAAATCCACACATTTACATGATTTCCCATCATTTGAACTTGTTCCATTGTTTAATATCTTTGCAGTCTTATTATTCACCAATTTAAATTGATCCATTTGACTTTACTATACCCTTCCCTGAGATCATTGGGCATAAAACAGAATTTAATTGGTGGGGACTCCAGTGATGAATGAGGCTGAAGGAAAAAGATGGGACCAAAAATACCAGTATATTTTTAGCATAAAGCTCTTACACTCCATAGCGAAGCCTTGGAGAGGCATTTCAAACTTTTAGAATTGGAGAGGGGAGGCAGGCAGATAGCTGGCCAACGCAAGTCATTGGAGATACCTTCCTAAAAGCTTAAAATATAATTGTTTCTTTAGTGTGAAAGCTCTGGGTTTCTTTCAGTGTCCAAATGACACTGTGGGGAAGCATATATGGCCATCTGATTTTTATTACAATTAGCCCTGAGATCTTTGGACTATTGTGTCAAATTCTGGGCACTGCAACTGAAGGGAGATGTTGACAAGCTGGAACATGCCCAGAGGAAGGCGACCAAAATGATCAAGGTCTGGAGAACAAGCCCTATGAGGAGTGGCTTAAAGAGCTGCACATGTTTAGCCTGAAGAAGAGAAGGCGAAGAGGAGACATGATGGCTGTGAATCAATATGTGAGGGGAAGTCATAGGGAGGAGGGAGCAAGCTTAGTTTCTGCTGCCCTGGAGACTAGGGCATGGAACAATGAGGAAAGGCGATTCCACCTAAACATTAGGAAGAACTTCCTGACTGTGAGAGCTGTTCAGCAATGGAACTCTCTGTCCAGGAGAGTGGTGGAGGCTCTGTCTTTGTAGGCTTTTAAGCAGAGGTTGAATGGCCATCTGTTGGGGGTGCTTTAATGTGATTTTCCTGCTTCTTTGCAGGAGGTTAGGCTGGATGGCCCATGAGGGCCCTTCCAACTCAATGATTCTATAGGATGTGATTTAAATATTTTAATAAATACTGTCTAAGAAATCATAGAGAATCAGATTTGACCCCTGGGCTTGAGATTCCCCATCTCTGACATTGCAGCTCACTGATGCAAATCATAGGCTGATCTTTCTTCTCTGCACCACAATCAGAAATTGAGTCCCTACATACCCATTTCCAAATGACATTTAATAAATTATGACTACAATTATGTTTTTTTTTAAACAGGGTAAGGCCATTTCGATTTGCAGTTGCCTTTCTCAGGGGAGTCCAAAGCACACACGTTTCTTCCAGCCAGGTTACATCCATTATCCAGGTAAGTTCTTCTAATTTAGAGGTTGCCTATTTATTTCTGGCTAGCAAAATATGCAATAATAATCCTGCAGGATTGGAGCAATGCTCCATCTAATTCAATATCGGTGGGTTGCTGTGAGTATTCCAGGCTGTATGGCATTCTCTCCTGATGTTTCACCCACATCTATGGCAGGCATCCTCAGAACCTCACAACCTCTGAGGATGCCTGCCATAGACGTGGGTGAAACGTCAGGAAAGAATGCTCCTGGAAGCCTGGAAAACACACAGCAACCCAGTGATTCCAGCCATGAAAGCTTTTGACAACACATACATTCAATATCTTCTTTCCCACTTTGGACCACGCGAATTGGCCAGTGATTGGCTGCTGTAAAAAAAGGCCTTGATTCAGCAGGGGACATCATTTATTTATTTATTTATTTATTTATTTATTTATGACATTTATATGCTGCCCTTCTTACCCTGAAGGGGACTCAGAGCAGCTTATAAGTAATATGTAAATACAATATATTATATTATCACCATAGCACAATATTAATATTATATATTATTATATTGTACTATACCATTACACTGTAATATTATTAGTAATATTACACTGTAATGTTATTAGTAATATTACATGTAATGTAAAATATATAATTATAATTTCATATTATTAGTAGTAGTATTATATTGTATTACATTATAGGTAAAGGTAAATGTTTTCCCCTGACATTAAGTCCAGTTGTGTTTGACTCTGGGAGTTGGGGCTCATCTCCATTTCTAAGCCGAAGAGTCGGCGTTGTTCGTAGACATCTCCAAGGTCATGTGGCTGGCTTGACTGCATGGATCATCGTTACCTACCTGCCAGAGTGGTACCTATTGATCTACTTACATTTGCATGTTTTTGAACTGCTAGGTTGGCAGAAGCTGGGGCTAACAGCAGGAGCTCACGCCGCTCCCCAGATTTGAACATGTGACCTTTTGGTCAGCAAGATCGGACAGGTAAACTGGCCCAGAACCATTTAGGGCTTTAAAGGCTAAAGCCAGCACTTTGAATTGTTTTTGAACTGCTAGGTTGGCAGAAGCTGGGGCTAACAGCGGGAGCTCACGCCGCTCCCCAGATTTGAACATGTGACCTTTTGGTCAGCAAGATCGGACAGGTAAACTGGCCCAGAACCATTTAGGGCTTTAAAGGCTAAAGCCAGCACTTTGAATTGTGCCCGGATTCACAAACTGAATTATATAGCAGTGTAGATGGGGCCTTAGTACTTATGAGAAAGACCTCTAGGACCTGTTAGCATTGGGGACCACTGAGTTTTGGAGCACAGAGATAATATTTACCACCGGTGACATTAGCATCACCACCTATATATAACATATCACATGGGAATGACAACGACACAGCATCATTTCTTTTGAAAGTAATGCCTGGTATTATTATGATGTTTCATTACATATCATTAAATCCTCCCTGTATCACCAGCAATAATTTCTCATTACTTATGAGGAATTAAACATGCTTCCAAGTCTATTTCGAGAGGCTTTGAAATCAAATTATTTCCTGCGTTCCTATTTCAGGTTGAGCTATTTCAAAAAGAAACTAAAATACTACTAAAGAGTGAGAGTTAGCCCAGTTTATGAGAAAATCAATTACCTAAATAAATAAAATATAGGGGAAAAATAAAAAGCCCTTATGTCTGTAAAGGATATATTGCCCTGTGGGAATAGAGAACTGGATTATACCGTATGTTTTCAATTGGAAGGTGCACATTAATTTCAGTAGCACTGAGAGGAAAGGGGCTTTGGTGTAGGTAGGTAGGTAGATAGATAGATAGATAGATAGATAGATAGATAATATCAGTGAGTCTAAATCACACCCCATTTATTTGATATGTTTATATGGGTCATAGAACTGAAGAAATACTGCAGCAAATGCTATTGAAATGAATGAGTTTTGCCAAAAGTTATATTTATTTATTTATCGTATCAGAGGTGAACCATTTAAAAAACAAAAACACAATGTTTAAAAACTTGCCATGATACTAAATGTCCTTTGACCAGTAGTTAGCCACTTGGAGTGCCTCTGGTGTTACTTCAAGAGGGTCCTCCATTGAGCATGTGGCAGGGCTCAGGTTGCATAGTAGCGAAGCAGGTGGTCTGTGGTTTGCTCTCTCCACACTCGCATGTGGGAACTCCACACTCGCATTTCTTAAGGTTGGCTCTGTATCTCGTGGTGCCAAAGCAGTCTGTTCACACCTTCCAAGTCACCCAGTCTTCTTGGTGCCCAGGGGGGAGTCCTCTCATTTGGTATCAGCCATGGCTTGAGTTCCAGGTTTTAGCCTGCCACTTTTGGACTCTCGCTTGCTGAGGTATTCCTGCATGTATCTCCATAGGTCTTAGAAAACTATTTCTTGATTTAAGGTGTTACTATATAGTCTCACTGGAGGACCTAGAAAATTTTGCGAGGTATCTTCTCTGAGAATTTGCTATTTCCTCCAGTCAAATTCTAGTAATTTTTGGCCAAAGTGTACTTTAGATTCACATGGAGCAGGACTTTTTAAACCTTTTCCCATTGTGAGCCCTTTCCATCTAAGAAATGTTTGCACTGGCCCAGGTATATCAGTATTTAAAAAAATAGCTTTAAAATCAAACATTTCAGATAATAAATCAACATTTGCAAGGGGTGTTAAACAGACTTTTTATGAAGTATAGCTGAAGAATTTTCTGCATAGTTTGATGTAAATACTGCATGTTGTTGCTAACAGATACATGTAAATGTCTAAAACTTTTTGCTGTTGCCAGAAAAATTCAGGACCCCTATATTAAGCCATTTGGTATCAGGACTCACAGTTTAATAAGCAATAATAATAATAATAATTGGAAAAACTGACACGATATGAGGATTTAAGGATCAAGCTGCAAAGACTGCTAACAGCCAGTAAAGGTGGTCCCAGTGGTGATCGGCACACTGGGTGCAGTGCCTAAAGACCTTGGCCTGCACTTAAACACAATTGGCGCTGACAAAATTACCATCTGCCAGCTGCAAAAGGCCACCTTACTGGAATCTGCACACATTATTCGCCGATACATCACACAGTCCTAGACACTTGGGAAGTGTCCGACATGTGATACAATACAACAGCCAGCATAGTGATCTTGTCTGCTGTGGACTTCTAATAATAATAATAATAATAATAATAACAACAACAACAACAACAACAACAACAACAACAACACACTGTATTTGTATTCCAACAACAACAACAACAACATAACACTGTATTTGTATTCCACCCTATCTCCCCAAGGAGACTCAGAGAGGATTCCAGCATATATAGAGACACAGACAAACATTCAATGCCTTGAAACACAAATGAAACACAAATACACAGACGAAGGCAAAAACTTCCCCTTTCATTTCCGGCTCTGGAGGCGATGCTCATCTCTGTCTCTGGGTTAGATGCTCATCTTCATTTCCAAGCTGAGGATCCTGCGTTGTCTGTGCAGTACCTATTGATCTACTCACATTTACATGTTTTCAAACTGCTAGGTTGACAGGAGCTGGGGCTAATAGCAGGAGCTCACTCCTTCCCACAGATTCAGACTGCCAATCTTCAGGTCAGCAAGTTCAGCAGCTCAACGGTTTAACCCTTTGCGCCACCACGGCACCATGGCAATGCCAAGGAGGACCTAGAAATTCCTAAAGAGGACATATTTTAATGTATTGTCGAAGGCTTTCATGGCTGGAATCACTGGGTTGTTGTAGGTTTTTTGGCTATATGGCCATGTTCTAGAAGCATTCCCTCCTGACATTTCGCCTGCATCTATGGCAGCATTCTCAGAGGCTGTGACCTACAACCTAGACAAAATCTGGCTACCAGTATTAAAAAACTAAAATTACAACAGCACAACAAGAGAGAGGAAACAAACAAGGACGTCTAATCACCTCTCAACAAAAGTTTGCTCCAGGCACTGTGAAGCCATTATATGCTAATCAAGGTGGTCAGTTGAAACATTCACACCTAGCTCCAGCAGACAAGAGTCCTTTGTCTCACCCTGGTCATTCCACAGATATATAAACCCTTTTTCCTAGTTCCAACAGACCTCATTACCTCTGAGGATGCTTGTCATAGATGCAGGCGAAACGTCAGGAGAGAATGCGTCTAGACCATGGCCATATAGCCCAAAAAAACCTACAACAACCCAGGACATATTTTGTTGGTGCAGGTAGATCATACCCCATACAGGTCCTGTGAGTCTGGAGCTTGGTCTGTGTACTTGCTTCTCTGCACAAATGAATTATACAGCAAATTACTTTTCAGTTCTTATGTCCTGGGAATTTTACCTTGCCTACAGGTGAAGCTTCCATGTTTCCTGCCGATCTCAGGAGCCAGCATATTTCCACTTCCCTTGGGATCTGAAGATAGGGAGAAGTGCTTTCCCCCAAGCACAGCCCTCTTCCCTCCAGCACAGCAAACAGCTATTCCTGATCTGGGGACTTGTTATCAATATTTCATGCCTGCTGCTTCTAAATTATGCAGCTCTCAGCTATTAAACTACTAAAGTGCCTAATTTTGTGAGGAAGAAGATAAATGAGCTGTGAAGTTCTCCCAGCTGACAAGAATTTCAGGAGGGGATGTTTCATGCTTGGAGGGCCAGCCACCAATTAAAAAACTTCTGGTGGGGCACAGAGCAAAGGAGAAGAAGAGCCCGGCTCACCCTGCGGGCATCAAAGTCAGGGCAGGAGGTCTAGGCAAATAAAATACCCAGTCCCAAAGGCGGATGCTCTTGGCCTGCTCTCTTTCCTCATTCCACAATGATGTAATGAGCAGTGACTTTAAAGCTGGCTCCGATTCAGCCCCGTTGATATTGGCAGCCAAAAATGATGCGGCAGAGAAGATGGAGTACAAAAAGCAGGATGGCAAGCTCATTTGTGGGGAAATGAGGGGAACTGCTGTGCGTCTGCGATTCATTGAGATTGGAAGAGACCACAAGGACCACTCTGACCCCTTATACACC